GACTAATATGATGCATTTTAGAGAGTTTGCGAATCGATCCTTCGTCGTGATGGTTTGATATTTCTATCATTTCCTTCATCAGAAAAGTAGATAGCCGAATAAAAACAAATCAAAATAGGAGAATACTTAATATCCAAAGAGTATTTGGTATCATTTCATATTCTAGGCTTTTCACTTTCACGAATTCTGTGTTTTAGAATGGCAAACAAACACACACACGTTTCACATGCTGAAGGGCCTCGTTCGCTCGTGCATTTCATGTGCCGCCAAAAGTTCATTCAAAACAACAGTCTCTAGACTTTCTTTACTCTTTGGCATTTATTAATGAATTTATTTATGAATTACCAAGTCCGCCATCCGTCGTCTTGCTCGCCGTGGCGGAGTCAAGCGAATCTCTGGCCTGATCTACGAAGAGACCCGAGGTGTACTCAAAGTCTTCCTTGAGAATGTGATCCGTGATGCTGTGACCTACACCGAGCACGCCGAGAGAAAAACCGTCACTGCCATCATGGACGTGGTGTACGCTCTGAAACGCCAAGGACGTACTCTGTACGGTTTTGGTGGTTAAATAATCACTAACAAACAACGGCTCCTTTAGGTGCCACCAAATGCTTCTAAAGTCACTGAGATTTCATGCTTTCATTTTTCATTGAAAAACAAACTTCATTTTAATAAATCCAGAGTATCTGCGGAAGTTGGTAAATCGTCTTTTTTAAGCGGTTTGCCTTTTTGCCGTGGGGTAACAACTGTAGACACTTTGTTTGTGCACGATTGATGTGCACGATCGATGGAAGTGAAATGTGGTAGTTACTAAAACAAGGAATTACCTGGAAAGACCGAGAATAACCTGGAATGATCCAGAACGAGCTGGAATGACCGAGAATGACTAAAAATGATCCATAACAAATGATTTTTTTAATTTTCGATTGAATTTGATTCCATATATTTGATTAACAAACTCTTATGCTATCTTGCCGCCAAATGGCGGATGGATTAATAGACACAGGAGGCCCGATGATTGTTTTAGGGATTTTTTATCACAACTTCTGGACATTTTTTTGTAAAACCCATGCTACAAAATTTGCAACAACATTAACAACAACAGTGACTTGTTTATGTTTTGGAATATTTTATAGTGTTGTTAAAAAGAAAATAATGGAGTCTTCATTATGCATGCCAGCATAGTTAATTTAGGAATTTGGTTAG